TTGGGGGTGGGGTGGGGTGGAGAGTGGGAGAAAGAGAGAGACAGAGAGAACTGAATGTGACCTGGAAGGTCCATGATGCTGCCTGGACACCAGGAACAGGAAATTTGATTGGAAGCAGAGAAGCTGTAGGCAGAAGGGGCTCTGGAGGTGCTCTGGACTGACTTAACAAAATTTAGACCACTCTGATTGGTTCTTCCCCAACCTGTGTGCTTTAAATCATTCAAGCTCTCTGCATACTAAACACTTTTTAAAAAAGAAAACATCCTATTGCACGACAAGAAAAAAATAGAAAATGACACTAGTCAATCCATTCTCTTTTATTTTTCACTCCCCACCTCCTGTGTTGGTCAAATGCTTCCTCACCCACACAGACATAGCTTTCTATGAAACAGGGATCAGTTGCTTGCTGACCATCACAATCCAGAGCAGAACAGTCCTCTCACCTAAGACATCACCCCACCTTGTGCAGTTGCTTCCTCCCCACACAAGCCTCACAAAACCATTGATCTGATGTTAGAGTTTTGCCTTCTAGAATATCATAGAAATTCACTCATATATGTATCTTGTGTTTAACACTTTATTTTAGCATGTTTCTGAGATTCACCTGTGCTGTTTCCTGTACTGTTATATTGTTCCTTTTTATTGCTGAGTAGTATTCCATTGTGTACATATTCATCATTTATTTAATATAAATTAATTTATATTAAATTGATGCATAAAAACTGTACATGTAATAGGATATCATACAATGTTTGATACACTTATACATTGTGTAATGCTTAAATCAGGGACATATATTGTCTGCACAATATTTATCCCATTTCTTTGAGGTAAAACACTTTAAAATTTCCTTTCTCTAGCTTTTGGAAAGATAGTAAATTATTGTTACCTGTAGTCCTATACTTGTTGATAAACAAACTTCACCAGTTAAGGTTACTTGGGTTCCTCCCAGTTTTGACTGGAAATATTCATGGGCTCATCTTTGTGAAATGCTTTCATTCCTCTTGGTAGATATCTAGGAGTGGAATGACTGGATACATAGTAAATCTATGTTTCAAGCTTGAAAACTACTGTTCAAGTGATTTCCAGAGTGTTGTTCATTTGGCATTCCCAGTGGCAACATCTAGAGTTCAGTTGCTCCTATCCTTGTCAACACTTGGTTTGTAAGTCTGTTTTAGCCATTCTAGCAGCTGCACTTCAGTGTTTCCTTGTCTTGACATTGCAATTCCCTAGTAAGGATGAACAGCTTTCCCTGTGCTGTTGGGTCATTTATATTTATTTTCACTGGTGAAATGTCTGTTCAAATCTTTCACTTATTTTTGGTGTTGATTGTTGTTGTTTATTCTCAAATTACATAGTACTTAATTTTCATCAGCTAAATTTGCCTACAGCTCCGACTGATGAATGAGAGTCTAATTTCCATCTCAACTATTTTATATGTTACTTACAGAGTCAGATTTGACAAGAATAAATCATGTGTATTATCCAGTTGTATTGATAGACCAGTACAACTTGGATAGATATCTGCGAAATTGTTGGATAGATTATTCACAAAATTATTTCTGATCATTGTGCATTTCAAAACTAAGAAAGCAATGTGTGATCTAAACTCTAACCATGGTTACGTGACTTTGCTCTTTTCCAAGACATACATGTGTGACTATACTTGTGCGGGAAACACCACACAGCTGACAATTTTTTTCTTATCTTGGCCAATCACTACATCTCTTAGCTTCTTGTACACTGGTGGGCTCCAGGTAAGAAATTCCTTTTTCTTTTTTCAGCGCTCAGGGTGGAACCCAAAACCTTGGGTGTGCTAGGCAACCATTCTGCCACTGAGCCACACTCCCAGCCCAGCAAAAAATTCTTACACATTAGGAAAGTTAAACTTGCCTCAAATTTCTAGAGATTCTGATCTTACTGTAAAGCTGTAAACATTTCAGGGGAGTTTTTTGTTTGTTTGTTTTTTGGCAGTACAGGGGTTTGAACTCCCAGGCCTCAGAGCTTGCTAGGCAGGTGCTCTACCACTTGGGCCATGCCTCAGCCCTTTTTTGCTTTAGCTATTTTTAGGTAGAGTCTCAAGTTTTGGCCTGGGGCTAGCCTCCTCCTACCTGCAGCCTCCACATAGCTGGGAACCTAAGTTGCACTAACAACACTCAGCTTATTGA